TCAAAACATTATACTAGAATTTTAAGGGGTGATCAAAATCATGTCATGTGGTATTTGACAAGATGACTCTCTCATAGTCCTTTATATTAAGCTCTTTAAGATCCTTGACAACTAATGTAATTTTACTTAATCCTTTAAGTTGCCATGATCTATCTATGTAGATGTTTATTCCAAGAATTAGTATTTCAATCACATTCATCTTGCTTTATATTTAAATCACACTATGTAATTATCTTATAAGAAATAAAATTCTTACTTTGAGATGTCAGTTTAAATCTGAATAGATTTTCATTCATGTATGTTTTCTCCTTTGAAAACTTTCTTAATCTTTATATTCATAATATATCAAAGAAGATTAATCAAGTCATGCTTGAGGATCATACATGAATGCATCTCTATGTATTTTATTAGTTTCTGATCAACTATTTAACAAATTCAACAATAGTTGAAAACTTGCTAGTTTTAAACTATGATGCATATAGCTTATGGATCTTTATCTCTTAAAGTTCCATATTGCTCCCACTTAGAAAAAAAAGAAGTGTCTAAGCGCTTGTCTTCTGGAATGACAATTGGTGGGATTAGTAGAAACTTCAAATTAAAAAAATCATTTAGGATAATCTACATAAATATAGTTAGTAGATGCTAAAGTGGTTAAGCTTATTTTTTGACATAATCATCAAAACTCTATACCTTTTAGATAAGGATAAACCATTACATCATTAATCTAATAAAAGTATTTAATCTAATTGTTTGGTTGGAAAAAATATATATTCAATATATCTTTGTTGCAGTGACCATAATTCCAAAATTTTATAAAGTAAATAATTCTTTTAAAACATCATATAATAGACTGTAAGGTCTATGTTTTATCCTCTTCAAAAACTTGTACTATCTTCATTCAACCAGTGATTAGGTGACCCTGTCCCACTAGAAAATATGAAGGTTACCTCGAACATAAAAATATAGATCTAAGTGACCACGTGATCCTATGCCATAAGAACCATACTAATGACGAGTTGGTGTTCTGGATGGAATGAGTTGTGAATCGATTCCACAACTCCTAAAATGTTCCAAGAAGACTTGGTTTACAAAAAAAAAAATCATTTTCTTTATCACAATGAAAGTTTAATGATGATCTCATTACGTAATATCACAATCTTCACTATGAAACAATTTGAGCAAATCAAAGGTTTCAACAATAACAAATAAAAGTTGTCAATGAAATTGACTAAGCATGATGATATTTATAAACTCTTTGATCGATTAGATCTTTGTAACAGGTAGATAATGAACGTAAAACAATGAAACAATACACAAGTATGGATCTGAATGAGTCGAATGATTAGAACTTTCAATCCTCAGCAGAGCTCGATTAAGAACTTCTGTTGTAGAGGATTTTAGGGTTACAAAAGAGATCTTCTAAATCACACATAAAAACGATCTATCCGTTACTGAAAAGATGCATGCAAACATATATTAATACACAAAACCTAACAAACAAGTCACGGATGGACAGGCCCATACCGGATACAAAATGGGGCTAAGAGACTAGCCCAAGACACAACACCAAATACCCAACAATCTCCCCCTTTGCGTCAATAGGGGCGAGACCTCACTCCAGCTTGCTTGCACTGGCTTTCTTCACAGTTTTGAATAGGCAGGGAATTATAGCAAGAAGTGTTTGTCGGAAGTGAATGTACCAATTGATCATATCGTTGAAGTATTTCTTATCACTCTCCGAGTTCTGTTTGCATCGATTGATGATACCCAGAACATGCTCCAAGCAGGAAGTGGTGTAAAGATGTTTGTCAGCCAAAGCAAATAAGCATTTCTGACCTTCTGCCCTGGTGAACATGACTGAGTTTCATTTAGGATCAATCTTTCCCATCTGAATTCTGTTTAAATCACTCGCAGAACCGACTGGAGTGATAGTGGGCTTCTTCCTAAGAACATTTTCAACTTCTTGATCCAGCTTGGCAACCTCCAAAATATAACACACCAACATTCTCTTGAAATGATCTATGATCGGACCATATTCCACTTCGTTAACAAGAAGAATGTTGTGCAAGATTATCCAGTCATGAGGATTTAAGTTGGGAAGATCAGCTAGAGAGATGGAATGCTCGGTTTTTTCGGATCCCCTTAAGACCTTGAATCTGACATTGGTGAAGTTACCCTCCCGGACAGGTTTGAGAACCCGAACGTTGATGATCTTCTGTGCGCTCCACGTCTGATACTGAGGTTGAGCTGTCCTCAGATAGAAGTCTACAAGATCCCTATCAACCTTCGGGTGAGGATGAGGAACTTCAGCTATGTGGGCGAATGCATGGAAGATAAAAGCTTTTCTGGTCAAGGGCATGTCAAATTGGGAATCCACCGAATTAACCCTGTCCAAGGAGATCACTGGTTCAAGCCAAAGAGTGCAGGGGGACTCGATAGCTTCTTTAACAAGCTCTTCAAGAGTCCAAGGAGGAAATAGAGTTTTTCTGCTTTCAAGGAGATAATGAGCCTCCTTTATCTTCCTTTCTTTGGCTTCAGCCTCTCTGGCAATACAAGCATTTTCATCAAGCTCCTTCTCTCTGGCCTGTTTCTTCAGTAGGCTGGAAATCGGTTCTTGGTCCTCACTTTCATCACTGTCATCGATGATTTGTTTGTCTTTTCTTTGAGCACTCAAACCTGATGTAGGAACAATTGTTGGTTTGGGTGCTCTCGGAGGAACTAGTGAAGAAACTCGGAGTGATTGAGCTTTGGAAATCGGAGGGAGTTTTCATTGAGATGTGGGATTCCCTTCTCCCCCTTGTTTCGGATGTTCCTCCTGCTCAGGAATCCCTTCAATGCGGCTAAGCAAGGCAAGGGCAGGAGCGAGCTTCTCTGCAAGAGTACGCCTCACCGAGTAGTTAAGAATCGAATCATGGGATTCGATGATGTTGGATAGAGCCCCATGAACATCCGAAACACAAATCCTAACCACAGCTTTCTCAGACCGAAGAGAATCGATCTCCTTCTCGACTTGGGAGAGCTGATGAGTTGTAAGATGAAGCTCGGAAGATTTACGAGCAAGCTCATCCTTTGTAGTAGAATCGGTGACAAGAGTTGCTTGAAAGGTGAGAAGACGATCCGCAACCGAAGACTAAAAAGACTGATTGTCTTCTTTGAGGTTCTGACGGAAGCTGACAAAGTGGTCTTTTCTGTTTCGAGAGAATGGACCAGCTTCTCCACAACGGTGCAAATCTTCTTGGTATTGGTTTCAGATGCTGCCTGCAAAGACTCCAGCCATATCTGAGCATCTTGAAATAGTTTTTCGACTTTTCGGTCGCCGCAGCACTAGCCTTTGTGGATTTGTTAATAGCAGCAGCAGCTGAGCTAATGGAGGCTTCATGTGCTTTGGTGAGAGATTCCACCATCCCCTGAATGGCAGCATCTGAAATGTGAGATTTTGAGGTAGGGGAAGAAGGCACAAGATTATCAATCTTCTCGTGGAGTTCCTTGATGTGCTTTTTGGTAACAGGAGCATCATCATCATCATTACTTTGGAATTGGTAGGGGCTGTAGTAGATGGAATCAAAGATTATATCCTCCCCTCCCAAAAAAGTTTCGGTTTCAGCAGAGGGAGTGGGAGATAAGGGTGTGGCGGATGGTTCAGTAGGGAAAGTGGGTTTGGGTACGGAAGTAGGTTCGGGTTGTGAAGTTCGAACCCCCGTATTAGATACGTTGGTTGGAATCTCACTGGTGGTCGTTTTGGTGGCTTCAGTGAAGATTGGTGGTGGTACGGAAGTAGTTGTGGGTGGAATGGTAGTAGAGGTAGTTATGGGGGGAATAGAAGTGGAGATAGATATGGAGGGAATGGAAATGGAGGAGGTTATGGTGGGAATGGAGGGTATGGGGATAGGAGAAGGAGAAGGAGGTTTTGATGAAACTGGTACCTCATGAGCAGGCGAGTGAGGAGGAGTATCGCGTCTAGCTGACTCGTCTGAAGTCAGATTGGTTATCTCTGAATCGCTTGAATGAAGAAGAGAGAATAAGTTTCCTCTTCGGCTGAGTTTTC